TATTATGTTTTCAAGAAGGACGTAAATATAGCTCTTGTGGCTAATGGGATTAGAATTAGAATATTGAGCTTGATGATCAGCCATGATCATATTGAATGGTGGACCAGGCTCGAGGGGTGGAATAGCGTACTCCTGCTCCTATCTACAATTTTTCTACATTACTTTTCAGCTGAGCATCAGCTAAGACCCTTGTGCTTAAGCCCTGGAATGGGACTTGAACCCACAACTTCTGACTTGGAGGCGAAACTGTTTTTATCTGAGACACAACTGATAGTTGATATTGCAGTAGGCTGCCTTGGTAATCGAGAAGCATTTGGGTGGAAAGTCCAGTTTAGAGTTGAGTAGGGCTGGTCCAGACTGAAACAGTCTGAGTGACCAGGAAATGGTGACAATAGTTCATGGTCACTCAAGACTGAAAGCAATGGCTTAAATCTTCTCGGTTTAATTAATATGGTACAATCCATTAGGCAGATGTATAGCCCATGAGAATGAGCAAGGAAGTTTTAGATTTGACTGGTTTACACAATCAATATTTTTAAAATCAGAAATGAACCTTTAAGTCATCTTGCCCTGTTACAATCAGAAATTACATCCATCTTAATGCAACCTGCTGTGGCAGGATGGAAATAACCTTTCATTCATCCTTTTCTGCTGTTACTATCTGCCAGTCTACTTATTCTGAAACAAATTGATTAAATCATACACCTACTCATTCCCTGTTTCAATGCATGATTTGATTTTGGTTATGACTAACATTAACCCTTTCACTCCTTTGCTTTTACTCAGACCAAGATATTCATCCCTATTAATAAGATGAAGTCCTCATCAACAAAGCGCAAGAGCGAATATTGGTATGAATACTCCCAGGAAAATGTCTGTTTAGTATTTTTAATCAACCTGCTCAGAGATGATATGACTCACCTCTTGAAACAGATGGGACTTGAAACTGTGCCTTTCTAGCCCCCAGAGGCAGGTACACTGCCAACGCACTATAAGAGCCCTTAATGTCTGTTTAATGACTTGCATTTCAATGATACTCAGCTCTGCTTTCGAATAAATGTAATTGCTTGGAGTTGAGCTGTAAGAATGAACACAGGATCCTGTGTGTAAACTTTCCAATAACCTGTATGCAGCTCACATTGATGATGGTGCTATCTGACCAAGTTTTGTGATAGAAAACAGGTGGTGATGATATCTATACAGCTTTGTTTCATCTCCTTCAATACATCCAAGTGACTAAAACCTATCCATTTCAATATTGAAATCATCAACTGACACCCAGCGTCAATATTCCCTTGGAGCAGAGAATTCCAGATTTCCAGTACCCTTCCTGATTTTACCTTGAATGGCCCAACTCTAAGATTGTACTTTTTTTTTACATTTATTCTATTTATTTATTGGTTGTTACTGGCAAGACCAGTATGTGTTACCCAACTTGCCTTGAACTGAGAAGCTTGCTGGACCATTTGCTATGATGATGACATTGCCTTGGATCTGGAGTCACATAAAGCGGAGACTTAGTTTACACAATTGATCATAGTTTCAAGGTCACTGGGACCAGTTTTCAATTCCAGAGTTGATTAATTTAATTGGAATTCTTCCAGCTGCATGGCAGGATTTGAACCCATGTCCCCAAAGCTGTAGCATGAGTATTGAATTATTAGACCAGCCATGTCACCACTGTCTTCCCCAGGATAGGGACTGGAGTGGGTGAGAGGTAGAGAGGATGGTGGCTAGTGGGTTTTCAATTGAAACTGTCAGTGGGGAATAGGACCCAGGGAAGGGAAGGAGATCTGAGGGACAATAAACTGAATATTTGCAAACAAAACCTGGACAAGCACATTGAAAAATGTCATTTTTTTATTAATTATGGTCAAGATATCAATGATTTATAACAGTTTTTTGTGAACTCCTGAACTCAACCATTGAACAAACACTTCTGTCTAAAACTCATAGACTATCTAGTTCACAGTAACTGACTATAATAAAATGGGAACAAATTGTCATTTTGGATTATGGAAATGAAAGGAATTTTGTAAACTTCTTTGTTTGGATGTTCAGTGTTACTGACAAGGCCAGCGCTTATTGCCCTTGTCTATTTGCCCTCGAGAAGGTGTGGTGAACTGCCTTCAACTGCTGTAATCAATATAATGTAGATACACCCATAGCAATGTTAGGAAAGGAGTTCAAAGAGTTGGACATGGTAACGGTAAAAAACAGCATGTCTGTGAATTTGGAGAGCAACTTGCAGATTGTGATGCATTTACTTCCTTTGCTCCCCCTAGTGGTAGAGGTTGCATGTTTACAAGGAACTCTTGAAGGAGACTTAACAAGGATGCATCTGGTACAACATTGCTACTAAATACAGGGGGTAGAATTAGGGAAGGCTTAAGAGTGGGGAGCCAATCAAGCGGGCTGCTTTGTCCTGGATAGTGTCGAGCTGCACTCTTCTAATGAAGTAACTCACCACAGTACTCTAAGCCTCTGTTCTGGTGACCTCAAGTGGTGGGAACTGTGCCTTGGCTCACCCATCAACCTACTAAACAGACGAGAATATTGTCTAATTTTCTGTAAATTGACCTTAAAAAATTATCCCATCCAAGATCATATATCCTTCCTGAGATTTGGTGCCCTGAGCTGAATACAGTTGTTCAGATGAAGTTCTGACAAAGGCTCTGCAGGACAGAAGGAGAACTTCCCTCCTTTGTATTCTGACCTCCATAAGATAAATACATCATTCAATTAGGCTTCTCAATTACTTTCTGTACTTGCTGTTCACAGTTTTCAGTCTTTGAATATCAAGAAAATATTCTAATTTGTCTTTCACTAATCCAAAGTGGATAACCTCTCACTACTCCCCCCGACCCCCGACCATTGAACTCTATTTGCCACAGTCTTGTCCACTCACTTAATCAGACTCAGGCCAACCACAAAGGAACTCCAACCAGCCAGGTCAGTACAGGCACCAAGCTCTCAATTACCAAGTTTTCATGCTTGGAAAAAATACATGGTTGTGTTTTTCACCATTCTGTGACATTTTAAAAATTCTGCGCAAAATTTTAAAATGGATAAGGAGCTGCATTACAATATGCGGAAGTTACTGAAATTCATCCAGAATGGAATAAGGTTAGAACTCTTTCCATGAGTTGTACTATTCTCAATGCACACTCAGACCAGAGAGAAATTAAGATCTGTGGGGATCTGGAGTTATACTACACTGGGTGCATACTCAGACCAGATATTGAGATATTGTTCCTGTGATGCCTGCACAAACTACAGAGAGCTTGAGACCTGCACCCTCAGAAGTGTTATGAACACGTACAGAAAGTGATCAAATTTAATGGAATGCTGGCATAACAACATAAGTTTGAAATCATATTTCAGCTACACAAACCTTAGTTTGAATACACCTGAAGAACTATGAACGGTTCTGAGTAGGATTCCTTCAGGCCTTGGATGTGTATATGTAACAGTCTGACTGCTGAACTTCAAGGGTTAAATTAAGAGAAAAGATTACTCAACCTTGAGTTTGTATTCCCTGTAATTTATAAGGTTAAAATGGTAATTAGATTGAAGATTTCAAGAGATTAATGAGAACGGGTAGGGTTGATAGTTTCCGTCTCTTTCTGCTGGTTGGGATGTTTAGGACTAAGGGGCAGAGTCAAACATTAAAGATATTTCAGGAGTGAAATTAGAAAAAACTTCTACACACAAATCATGGTTGAAATTTGGAACTCTCTTTCACAAGATGGCAATTGATAATAAATTTGTTGTAATTTTTAAATCTGAGTTTGAGGTTTTGTTAGCCAAAGAGATTAAGCTGTATTGTGCTAAGGCAGATGTAACAATTTTAGTCCTAATTCAGCCATGATCTCACTGACTATGAGAACATGCTTAAGGGTGAAATGATCTATTCCTTTTCCTATATTTCAAAGATCCCAGATAATCACTTGGAGATGTGTTAGAGTGACAGCTCAGTGAACGAGTGACTGAGTGACTATCTTGGGTTATTGACAGAGCGACAGGACAGTGACCCGGGTGCCTGTCTGCGCTGTGAGCCTGGGTGACAGGTTAGTAACTGAGTGACTGGGCAATGTGACAGAGTGACAAGTTAGTGACCCGAGTGCCTGTCTGGGTTAGTGATGGAGTGACAGGTTAGTAACTGAGTGACTGGGCAATGTGACAGAGTGACAGGTTAGTGACCCGAGTGCCTGTCTGGGTTAGTGATGGAGTGACAGGTTAGTAACTGAGTGACTGGGCAGTGTGACAGAGTGACAGGTTAGTGACCCGGGTGACCATTTGGATTTATTGACAGAGCAACAGGTTAGTGACCCATGTGACTGGGGTGTGTAATGGAGTGACAGGGGTTAGTGACAGAGTGACTGTCACGAGATCAGGGAGTGAGCAATGTGTTATTGCTAGGATTTAGTGAATGGGTAACTATTGAAGGTTTATGTTAGAGTGATGTGTTAGCAATCTGAGTAACCTGTTAGTAACCTGATGACATGCTTGTAACTGTTGGAAGTTACTAACTGAGTGACTGTCAGTTTCCCTGACTTAGTGACTAAGTCATTGTCTGAGTCAGTAACTGAGTGAGTGTTGGGGTCAGTCAGTAATTGTTGGTAGTTAACTAAATGACTTTGGATGGATGGGTAGTGACAAAGTGACTGTTGGGAATTATTAGTGATAATCAGTGACTGTGGGCTAGGACAGGGGTCAGTGACTCTGACGGAATGACTGTCGGGGTTAGTGACTGTTGGGCGAGTTTTACTGACTGACAGTCAGGGTCATATCGGGGAATAGTGACAGGTAAGTGTCGGGAGACAGTGCCTGTGTGACTCAGGGAGTGAGGATGTGTCAGTCATCTGAGCCAATGTGAGGGGTTCCGGGAAGCTGCTTATACAAATGCATCTCTTCCTGGAAGGGGTGTGCTCTCGCTTGCTGACTGTCTGGTTTGTCTGTCCAGTCAGGGTATATCAGAAGAGGGGAGTTAAGCACAAGGACAGTGTGAAACCCTGCTTTAGGATTGAGGAGACGAATCTTGCTGTGTGTGTGAGAGAGAGAGAGAGAGAGAAGGAAGAGTTCGCAACAGCAGTTACCCAGTCACTGGCGGACATTCTCAGGTAGGAAATTTACTCAAGTCTCCCTCTCATTCCCGATAAAGATCAGGTGTTCGGTTTAAACTTTGTTGCTGTTTCTGAGTGAGAGTCTGGGCTCCCTGCATCTACCAGTTCCTCGCAGTTTCTGCTCCCACTCTCACTGCCTCCATCCTTTGAACCAACTCTCGTCTCTATTGGTTTTTTTTAACCGATATTCTTCCTAATGGAAACTTTTTCTCTTCCTCCTTTCTCATAGTGGAGAACTCGCCACGTTTCCTATCCCGCAGAACTCCTATTTCGTTTAATCCCTCTCATTTATCCACTCCTACCCCCTCCCGCAACCTTTAACTTGTCCGTTTAACACTTACCCTCCGCCCGAGCCCCCGCTTTTCCCCAGGTCCCTGCCCCTCTCTGTCTCCTTCAATCCTTGTAGAGTTGCTGAGAGGGAGGTGATAGAGCCGCATTTCCCAGCTCGGTTCGCCCCTGTCTAACCCTTCACTTCCCTATAGTCCGGGAGGGCTGGGGAGAGTTCCCTCAATGAGGGCAAGGAGTGGGGGTTGGTATGAGCCACTGGAACCGGGAGCCCACAGAGTTCCCAATTAAATCGCAGGGAAACAGCAGAATAACGTTTAAAGAGATAACAAAGAAGGTACAAACAGAAATGGAGAGGCGGGGGCGTGGATCAGAGGGTGTGCAATCTGGTTCTGAGTTCAGTTTGTGTGTGTGTGTGTATTTACCGAGTTGTCTGTATCTGGTTGTGCAAACACCCTGGTCCCACGGTCCAGCTCCCTCTCATGTCCCCCATTGTGCATACTGCACTGTCGTGGACAGCTCTCACCTGAGGGTCAGTGTCCCGTCCCAGGAAACTGCCAAATGTAGATAACAGCAGTGGGCAGAGAGAGGGAGAGGTAGGCAAGAAATACAGCAGAGGTGTGAAAAATAGACCAGAACGGTGAAGGCTAAAGAATCGAAATTGGATAAATAGACGAGATATGAACAATAAAAGAGGTGCAGGCGTTGGTAGAAAGCTCACGTTGAAAAAGTACCATTTGCTTTTACCACGAGGCTACACCTTGCTGTTGCACTTTTACATCCCGTCAGCTCTCTTCGACAAGGCTTCTATTGGAAACAGCAATTTGAAAGATGTAGACGGGGTCAAGAATAAAGACCAGACATTCAGATAGAGTACCAGAGCTTCAGATTTAGAAATATTCTCTCCTCTTCCAACCCTCATTCATTGAATTGTTATTTCAACCGAATAGTATGTTTTAAGTTTCTTTGCAATGCTACACTAAATACAATGTTGTTGACTTACTGGTTATTTTGTTTGGGCAGGTGTCACAGTTAACAATGAGTCTGTGGATGTTACTGATGATAATTTTGAATATAGGCTGCATTCCCTGGTTTGTATTCTGTGGAGTTTAGAAAGATGAGATGAAATCTATTCAGTTATTTTAAATGATATATGGAGTACAATATTTTCTCTGGTTGGGAATCTAGAAGACACAATATTATAACTTGAGTAAGGCCTTTCCAGAGTGAAATTCTGAAGCATTTTACCACACAGAAAATAATAGAAATCTTAAACTTTTTCACCATCTCCCCCATGAAAAATGTCTGTTGATGCTGGGAATGGGTTGGAGTTTTCAAGGCTAAAGCTGGATAAGCTTTTGTTAGCCTAGGGCAACGAGAGATGTGGAGCAAATGCAAGTTAATTTCATCATTTTCTGTTTTCTATTGTGGAGGTCTGGTCGATAACATCAACAGTGTGAGCTGAGTCAACTGGGACTTTTAAGACAAAGCTGGATAGAGTTATATTTGGTAAGGGCAGAAATTGAGATATAGGGATAGAGGCTGTAAACAAATATGTTTACAAAAATAAATCTAGTGCCACATGAAAACGGTTGGTACACTGGGCATGTAGAATGGGCCTGAAGGATAAGATTATTAATCCCACTATAGCAATCATTTAAACAAACTCCCACTAAACATCAACTAATAACAATTTGAAAGACTATGCACTGCTGAAAATGAACTCCTGCTCTGTTCGTCTGGCTTTCCACCAACAGCCTTATTGGAAATGACCTTCATAACTGCCTTATACAAAGGATGAAAACACATTTACGATTATGATATGGCAGTCAGTTTACAGTGATAACCTCTTAGTAATGTAGTGCTGGCAGTGCTTGGGACAGTGACCTTCCTGCAGACTCTCTATCTTTGTGATATTTACAACAAAGCAGGAAATTTGGCATCAGTTCTAATGTGATCTCCAAAAGATGAAATGGTTTGCAGCTAGTTGAATAATAAAGATCATTGGGGAAATAAATGGATTGAGCCCAACAGTCATTCAATGTATAAAATAACAGTCCATGTGGGACAGAATTTTGAGAACTGGGTCCAAGTCTGGAACTTATTGGTTTAAGTACAAATTTTTTAATGCAACTCAGTTTCTTCTGGATTAATTTCCACATTTGTTTACTTTTATATTCTAAATACCAAAGAAGCACAATAATGATTACAGTACAGCATTTTATTAGCTAATTCTGTGCCATTTTTTCAGATGAGACATTGAACCAGGGCCCTTATATCTCTGTTCACCAAAATGCAAAAGATCCCATGATACTATTGGAAGATCAGCAGAGGAGTTCTTCCTACGAACATTTATCTCTCAACCAACATAATTAAAAATTGATTATCTGCTCATTGATTTCATTGCTATTGGTGAAATCATGCTGAGCACAACATGGCTGTTACATTTCCCTGCATGACAACAGTGATCTGAGAGGACACCCAAAGGAGGTATCCCCCCTCTCCATGGTTGCTTTGGACCATTTCTGTTTGTCACTTTTCACCATTCAGAATGTGCCTGTTCTAACATTTTTAGGTATAAACAGGAGATCTCACATTTACCTATAGCCATCAGTCACAGTTTGCCCATGATACTTAATTGATCCACATCACTTTGTAATTTTATATTGTCACCTTCATTACTTACAGTGGACTCTATCTTTGTGTTTTGACAAACTTAGATATGTGGCTTTCCATCCCATCATCATGTAGTTAATAGATATTATGAATAGTTGAAGGGCCCAACGCATATCCTTGAAAGACATCATTAGTTACATTCTACAAATAGTGCATATGCCCGTTTCTTTACTCCCCCCTCCACTATCTTCTATCTCTCAGCCAATTTCTTAACTAGGTCAATAATATGCCTTCAATTCCATAATCTTCAACTTTGGACCAGTCTCTTATTATGGAATTGATTAAATATCTTCTTAAAATTCATATAAATAAAATTCATAAATGCTCCTCCCATCCATTACTTTAGGGTCTTCTTTGAAAAATTCAATCAGACCCATCAGCATGATCCACCTTTTACAAATCCGTGCCAACTTTTCCTGATCAGCTGAAAAATTTTAAAGTGTTCAGTCCTTCCTTTCTTAATCATAAACTGTGGCAATTTCCAGACAACAGATATTAGGCATATTGTAATTCCCAGTTTCCCTCTGTAATCCATCTTAAATAGTGGAATAACATTAACACTTTTGAATCTAAAAGAGCCATTCCCAAATCAGGAGAACTTTGAAAGATTGTGGTTCAAGCACCTGCAATGTTTTTCCCTATTTTCTTTAGAACTCTCTAAAAGAGACCATCTGGTCTTTTAGTGCCATTATTTTCCTCCTTAAAGCATTTTGTTTATGCTAATTTTGTCAGGCATGTTGGCCTCTTCCTTTACTGAAAATACTAGCACAAAGTAATTATACAGCACGTCTGCCATTTCCTCACTTTCAATGCAAATAGCACCATTATCAGTTGTCAAAGAGACCACATTGCTCATGTTAACCCTCTTTTTTTCCTAGTTTAAATTGAAAAATATTTTTCATGAATTTTAATGTTGTGATCTCAGTAGTGACCACTTTCTTTTAGCTCTTACCTTTTAGAAAGAAGAGCTCTGAACAAAATCACATAGTTAATTATTTTTAACCAAAAGAATTTTGCTACACAAATATCATTTAATAACTACATTCTATCTTAAATAGTACATTACTTCTAAACATTATAAAAATACAATGAACACAATAAAGGTATTAAATGTAAATAACTGGGATCAACTGAATCTCTTGAAGAGTATAAAGAATGTAAGGGCATTCTTAAGAGGGAAATCAGGAAGGGATATATGAAAGCCTTGGCAGATAAAGTTAAGGATAATCCAAAGATTTCTACAAATACATTAAGAGCAAAAGAGCAACTAGAGAGAAAGTAGGGCTCCTTAAAGATCAATGAGATCGTCTTTGTATTGACCCTCAGGAGATGGGAGAGATATTAAATGAATATCTTGTGCCAGTGTTTACTGTGAAGAAAGAAGTGGAGGCTAGAGAACTCAAGGAAATAAATACAAATGTTTTGAAACAGTTTACAGAGGAAGTGCTTAGAAAACATAAAGTTGGCTAAATCTCTTGGACCTGATCAAGTGTACCCCAGGACGTTGTCGGAATTTAGGCAAAAAGTTATGGGGTCCCTAGCAGAAATATTGTTTTCATCTATAACCATGGGTGAGGTGTTGGAGGCCTGGAGGGTGGCTAATATTGAGCCTTTATTTAAGAAAAGCTGTAAGGGGAAGCCTGGGACCTGTAAATATCGGTGGTGAGTAAGTTGTTGGAGGTGATCCTGAAAGATAGGATTTACATGCATTTGGAGAGGCAAGGAATGATTAGGGATTGTCAGCATGGTTTTGTGCAAGGAAAATCATGTCTCACAAATTTGACTGAGCATTTTTGAGGAAATAACTAAGAAGATAGATCAAGGCAGAGTGGTAGATATTTTTTACTTGGACATTAGTAAAGCCTTTGATAAGGTTCTGCATATTAGACAAATTAGTAAAGTTAGATCAGGATTCAGGGTGAGTTTGCCAATTGGATACAAAATTGGCTTGACGGTAGAAGACAGAGGGTGGTGGTGGAGGATTGTTTCTCGGACTGGACGCCTGTGACCACTGGTGTCCCACAAGGATTGGTATG